TAGACATGTAAATTTAATTTTCTTATTTTTTTTGAGCTGACATATATATGTACACATAAAGTTATCTATCTATGGATCTATCTACTTACTTTTGATTCAAAAATTTTTTGTTAGACCTTGCAAAATTCCAAAGCCCCAGTCAAACTGCCCATAGTGTGTAAAGTGACTCTGTCCTCAGGGAGACTCGGCACCAAAGGCGCACCCCAAAGGCCCAGCAAATCTCTTACCAGGAAGCTTCCCATTCCCAGAGAGCCGATATACTTCATTGTTGCCCCCTGGTGGCAGCTAACACTAATGTCTCTAGAGGAACTCCTGAAGAAAATCTGCTTTGGTGGCATGGGAAGGTGGTAGCACTTGGACAGGCTCAGTAGTGTGGCCTTGGGCATAGCAACACTTGGAGGAAGTGGCCTTAAACCTCAGGCTTCTCTGAGCCATGAGGCTGATAGTGTTGTGTGCGTATGTCTATGCCTGTTTAGAGGGTGCCCTTCATGGAGCCACTTCCATGAGCAAACAGGCTTCCAGCATCTGGATAGGGCAGGCCTTGCCCTGCTCCCACTTTGGATCAGCATCTCTTGCCAGGGCCTCAGCAACACTGGGCAGGGATGGCACTGTGGGTGCCCAATTATCTCACCTGGCTCAGCACATTTTTGAAACAGTTTCTACAGAGAGGCAGGGAGGTAAACACCTTGTAACTCTCCATCCTCAAGGCAGAAAACAGTAGTCTTGACACTTCTCCAGGGTCCTGAGACCAAGGCCATGGCCTGCATGGAGCCTGGCCCCTCACAGGAATACTGTGAATTCATCCTCCAGGATGGATGCAGGCCTCTCATCTCTGTGTGGAGCATCCTCCATGTTCCCCGTTAACACATGAGCTGCAGGTTACAACTTGTAAAGGGTGACTTCCTTCTCCAAATCTCTAAGAAGTGGGTAGGTTATGGATGGAGGAGGTACATCCTATTCTTATGTATTTCCATTTGACAGAGGGAAAAATGAAGAAACTCACACAGCCAAATGGCTTTGCCTTTAGTGTCTGTGTGAATGGTGACAGCCTTGCAGATCCGCAAGACTTGGTTCTTACAGAGGGGGTGAGGGATGAGGTATAGGGCCTGTTGGAATAGACAAGACTAAACTTTCCAGGCAGCATCACCTCCAACCCACCATGACTGAGAGGGACCCCTGAAGCTTCTTCCTGAAGCACTAAACAGTTCTCCAGGGAAGAGGCTCCCATTCCAGGTCCTGGTGTTGTCAGGGCAGTTGAGGCTGTTTTGAGTCCCATGGCTATTCCAATTTATCTGGGGGTTCTCTGGGAAGAAGCTGATACCACAAAGGTGATGAAATGGAGTCAACTCTAAGAAGTATGCTTCTTGCAATGTTTCTAAGAGGTGTCCTGGAGGCCAGTGTAGTGACACATGCCATTAAAAGTCTCTGCTCTCCTGTGTGGAAAAGAAAAGTAAACCAGCCAGGTGCATCTCAGGACCAAGGGTTTCATCTGGGTTGTGTATAATCCTGTATTGAGCAGGTAGGAACTCCATAAATGCATGTTTTTCAATGTCTTAAATAGAGAAAAGTAAATTCTTTTATAAATTAAGATAGGTTAGTTACAAAACCATTATATGTTTGTCACAAAGAAATGATTAAAGAGACAAGTTAATAGAAAAAAAGCAAAATACAACAATACCACTATTATCCAGAATTAGCCAT